ATGGATTTAACTTCATAGATTTCAGAGGCTCAGACACCAGAACAAAACGTCGAATGTCTAGGTGGAGGATCATGGGTCAGTACTGCCCAAGGTTAAGAACTGCTATTTAAAAAGTACTTTTAAAAATGTAACTTCTTCCCTCTTGCTTGTCCCTCCAAACCCTCCCATACCCATGTCAGGTCCCCTTCAAATTCATGGCATATGTGAGTATGAATAAATATATAAATATGACCTTTGACACCTTTTGTTTCTTGCCTTTCTATGTTTCTTAGAGCTGGCCACTCAGTATTGGATAACAAATTACAGAGTTCATCTCTGCTGAAGACACTAGTTTTTCCTCTCACAGAGGCAACCAATAGGGCGTAGCCCTCCATCAAGGGTAGATTTTTGTTTTTTTTTTTTTAAAAAAAAACAAAAATGGAAAGGATGGAATGCAGCCGAACCTAACTGTAGCTCACCATCCCTGCCTTAAAGCTGAATTATATAGCCACAGGTATCAAATGAATACGAGAAAAATAGTTACTTTAAATTTAGATGTCTTGTATGTGTAAAATATATGGCATATTTCAAAGAATAAATACAAACAAGTATAATATATCTTCCTAGTGAGAATTATTTGCTGACAGAGTCTGAGATGGGATAAGTGAAATATTGCTCATTTCCGGTTTTATTTATTTATTTTACTTTTTAAGGTACAACATTGGGATTTAAATGGCTTCATATTTGACCCCTTAACTGCCCATCAAGGTCATCTAACCCCTTCCAAAGCAAAAATTCAAGATTTCCCTTCAAGCCATTCTGAAAACAAAGCAAAGAGAGAAAGTTTCCTCCAATTGTATTATCTGGTTATGATTCCTTTATTCAAGTTTTCTTATCTCCACTTGAATTTAAAGGACATAGCGATGATACCCTCTGAGTGCTGAGATATTTGGCATTTGATTTCCTGAAACAACATACTTTGGGATCCATTTTAGAATAGATGAAACATGTGCTTATTAATTCTTGACAACTCACTTCTCTCATAAATGAATCCCGAGTACATTTATTCCAAAGAAACTACCAAATGAGACTTAGACAGCATACCTCAGAGCACTTGTAAAGCTGCAACTCAACTTTAGTATCTGGCATTCATAGCTGTATCCTCTCAGTTCCTAAACATGGCTACAAGATGTGCCTCCGCTTTCAAATATGATCTCCCAAATTTTACCTGAATGTGTATATTCAAAGTCATGTCCGGTCTATTCTCCATACTCGAATGAACCTCGGGAATGTCATTTTTAGCCCTTGTCGTCTGCATAGAAGAAGGCTTGGGAGAAACACGCCTCTGCAGCAGGTGTGTGGGTGGCTCCCTTGTAGTAGGTGGGACTCCTCTGTATCTTGAGAAAATTACCAGCAGTATTTTTACCTCAGGGTCACAGTTCCAACATTTAGCACAGGGGCAGAAGGGAAGTCCTCTGCAATATTGGTGGCTTTGTAAAGTGTTCGTAAGACTTTCCATAAGTTAATATGGATTAGAATGTAAAATCCAAGGAGGTAGCAACTGCTGCAGTAGAGAATAAATTACAAAGCACTTACCACACAAAAAAGTTTTCCAAACTCGTGGCAGGTAGAATTCCAGGGGAAGCTGAGGCTAGAGACTTGACTAAATTTCAATTTTTTTTCTTGACCTCTGTGACAGGCATGCATGTGACTGGTGTGTGTACAAACACTGCACACGAGAGAGAAGAGAGTGAGAGATGGGGGGTAATATATGGGTCAGTGGATGAGCATGTTTAGGGGAGGTGAGAAGCAAGGAGGATGCCTTTATGATAAGAGAAAGGATTCAACAATATAATATATATGCTAAATGAGTCTGTTATCTGGAGGACCACAGAAGAAAAAAAAAAAAACTTGAGCTGGCAATGAAGTTAATAGAGTTGACTTTTATTTCTGCTCCCCGGCTGGGAACTGTGTGTCCTTGGGAATGTTATTGAATTACTCTGACCCTAAGTTTGTGAGCACTGTGGATAGAAAGATTTGCTTCTTAGTTTGTGGCAAGAATTAAATGTTATTGTGCACGTTAACCACCTGGCACCCTGCATGCTAATGGCCATTTCCCTTTCTCTGTAAACCCTCACACCAGGACAGAGCAATCTTTTTAATTTAATATCCTTGACTAAATGGCTTTAAGTCAAACTATCACTATCTCTTAGATATTGTTTTTTTTTAAACTGCTCAAAATAATTTGTGATCAGCATTCTTTACCTAAAAGCATTGATTTTTTTCCCTATGCTGGACAAGATGAAGCAGTAGGATTTATTGTTGAGGTGCATTAGAAGAGCCAAGTTCTGGCGCTCCACAAATTGCCTCAAACACCAGGTATATAGTGCAATTTGACAGTTCAGTCTGAGATGCCTACCACAGGGGACAACTATAAACAAGAAAGCCCACTGTGGGTGCATTTGCTCGATTGCACATTCATAAGTCAGGGGTTTCTCTCCCCTTACTACTTTTAAAATGCAAGTTTAATTTTGTAACTACTCATTCATTGACATTCTGTGCTCATAAAAAAAAAAAAAACACAGGAGAAATCAATTAAATTGTTCCCGGCTACCAGATGTTAAGGAGAGAGTAATATAACAGAGTCAAGCACAGTTTTAAAGACAAACAATATGATGCGTGTCTAACAGTTGCTTGGAGCTCAGCAATAATGAGGCCAAGGTCAGGAGTTCAATCTCCTATGGCCAGTTAGCTTTGCTTCATTCTAGAACCACAGCCATATCTGTGCTATACATTTTGAATGTACACTCCGTTGATGGTCAAGGTGCATTGAAGAAAAGGTAGCAGCAAGATATTATAGACCACAGGAAGGACAGCTTAAGGGTACTTCTGCCTTCTGCTTGCTTTCTTCTATCTATAACGACTTTCTGTCACCACTATCAGTCTTAAGACTACTAGGTGCAGCCCATTGCTTTCACCTTTCAAAGATGCATTGGGTAGCTGCTGAAGTGGTAAGAAAGGAAAGTGCTCAGAAAGAAAGGAACGACTTTCTCTCAATGATTCCCGAACCTTTTGAGGAGGGAATATCCTGAACATTCCAACTGTATCTCACATCTTGGTCTTTCAAGATGTGAATGGCTTCTACCTCAGGCTTCCAGTACCACAGATGAATTCGTTCTCCTCTGCCATACCTTCCCTAGCATGGTAGTAGGATTGTTCTAAAAATAAAGACAAATTCAACCTCTCCTCCCTCAAGCTCTTTCTGTCAGGTGTTTTACCTACTGCGATGCAAAAGCATTATTAGATATTGCCTTCACTGAACAGAATAGGCACCTTCCCCATCCTGTGAAGTGATCAGTGAAGAAATTTACTTATTTAGATGTTAATCTTAGCTTAAAGAAGGCCTTCATGGGGACATCTAGACCAATGTCTTATCAAATATCTGAAACCCATGCCAAAGTGTTTTGATACATAAGATTTTATCATCACTGCCTTTCTCCACTCATTGACATCGTTTGGGGAGTCCTTAACCTCACGTGTCACTTGAACATAAAAGAAGAATAAGGCAAAGCTCATAGTAAGTGACTTCCATTTTTAAATTATAATGGCCATGCTAGTGAGATTTCTTTATTCTCTTATACATTTCTATGAAGCAGAATTCCAAGCAGGGTCCTGAGAGCAGGCTTAAGAAGTGAACCGTTACTCAGAAACTGAGGACTTCATTACAAACAGGTTTCAGAGATCAGAGTGCATCTACCAATCTGGATGAGCTGTCAAGAGCATCTCTTTCCCCCACTCTTGATTGAACCCTCAGAATTTTTGGGTAAACAAATATATTGCTACACTGTGAGATCAGGAAACAAAAGTTTCATTTAAGGCATACCTGTATTTCTTATCCATGTAGACTGGGAGATAAAAAAATGTGTATTTATATCAGCCATTAGTTTTTGGAGTGATTTGTTGTATAGTAAAAACTAATGAAGGAATTTAAATTATTATATATACCAGAATAATTGGTTGAAAACTAAATCTGTACTAATCTATTGAAATTATAAAAAAATTAATTGAAGACTAATGAGATCTCAGAATTTTTCTTGAAACTCAGAGTTAGCAGTAGGTATTCCAAGGAGACACCACAAAACTAGTCACCCAAGAGAAGTGCCACTCCTGATGAAGTCAAGAAGGACCAAAGAGAAATGTCATTACCAAAGCAGAAAGCTCGGTTACGTGCTGAAATTTAACAATGAAATTAATTCTCACACTTTGTTCGTCCTTGACTTATCAGTCAGCTTCACATCAGGACTTTAGGTTAGGTCAGTGATGGAATGCATCCAAACTATCTCCACTAGGTGTTGGGGGTGGGGGATAGGAGGTGGTTTGGGAGGGGGGGTTAAATAGATCTTCCTCCCTCCCTTCCTCCTTTCCTTTCATACTATTTTCTTATCATATTTACCTTCTTCTTTCCTAAAAAAAATTAAGGGTCAAAAATAGACAGATGCACACTCAAGCAAGAAATATACGCCCTCTAAATATATAGACCGTAATATAAGGAATTGTGTGATTAGATTCTGCATTATAAAGGTCAAGCTTAACTTCTGCAAAAATTCCCAGAAAGACTTTTTAAAATCTGTAATGTGGTAAGCATGAATACAATATTTGGAGAGTTAAACAAACAAAGGATTCCATCTTTGACATTTTATCAGCTGTGTGATCTTACACAAGATCCCTAGACTTGTTTCTTATCTTACAAAAGTTAAAGCAAACAAGCAAAAATTACTGCTACCTCTTAATTCTCTTGTGAGAATAAAGGTTCCAAGAATTTCTGTTAGTATGAGGAGTGGTGTGAAGCTAGTTATCATTAAGTAGAGCTCGCACTGAGCCGGGAACTGCGGTTTGTGGTTTAACAGAACATGTGCACTGGAAGGGGTGGACTCTAAGCTGCACTGAAGAGAAGGAAGCAGAGGGCGTGGAAACTGAGGGCATGCTGCTCAGGCATCTTTCAGAAAAGGCCTTAGAGAGCTTGTAGGGGCTAGTGCCTTACAAACAAACAAATGGATGCACATGGATGAAACAAGGCATGCTATCATAGGAAAGGTGAGTAACGCCCAAGTCAAGGTTGGTGACTGCTAGGTTGGCATCCTATCCACTTAACAGCGTGTCAAGCTTGGCTCAAACAATTGGAATTGGGAGTTTTTGTTCTATCTCCATATTAGCATCAGCACTGACATAGCTATTAATAACATAGACACTAAGGGAAAAAAATGAGATTAACAGTGACATCTCATCAGCCAGGTCTTCATTAAACAATGAGCAAAAGGAATTGGTGTCAAAATAGTGCATGCAAACCTCTCCTTGATGTCTAGATTGTATAACGACTCATAAGAAACCGATATATAAAGCAGAGATTCGGTTCTTTAAACAGGCAACCCTTTCTTTCATGTTTAATTTTCCCCATTATATCTAGATCACACTCACCTAGTCTGCCTCCAATTCATATGTGAGCACTTTTTGTACGACTTAATTAGTTTCCTCCCGTAAATAGAGACTTACATTAAAATAAAATGAAACCAATGGATTAAGGTTAATTATGCCCTCTTCTCTTTCTTATTTCCTGGGCTTATGATACAATTACTAATTGAAACTAATGAAAGCCACAGTTATCTCTTTAATCATGTTTGAAAGAAAAAGCTGTAAAGCAAAAGAGCCCATTCCCAATTTAATGGTCTCTTAAAAGCTTTTGTGATCCCCACTGACTTGAGGTAGAACAGCAATTCAGAATGTTTTCATGGAGAGGGGATTCAGACTTCTGATTCTCTCTCCCATATTCTTCATCTGAAGACCTAAGAGACTCTTAGAGAGCATCTGTAGATCCTGCCTAAGTTAGTAGCAGAACAAGTTTTTGCATTGCTCTGATGTTTTGCCATTGGTGAGGATGTATGTGATATTTTGCTTATCTTATATCTAATAACATTCTCATCAGCTACTTTGATGTGCTCTAATTCCCTTTGTGCCTATGAGGATTAGGCAAAATGGTAATTTAAGTAGCAGGAAATATAATAAATATTGGTTTTTTCCTTTTAAGCCCTGTGTAAATATAATTTCATAAATCACAATGTGTTTAAGGCTATTTAATAGGTTCTATACAGGGAGAAATCTGGAAGAGAGTTTTTTTGAATATCTTATAATGCAAATAAACATCCCCTAGGTAACCTCTTTTGTCACCCTGGATATTTATAGTGCCATGAGAAGAGTTTGTTACTTCAGAATTGACAGACAGCTCACTTAGCACACCAGCAGACAGATGGCAAAGTTCATATGCAATTTACAAGCTTTGCCTCTGATGGATTAGATATGGTGCCTGTACATTTTCCAGGCACCACAAGCTATATGATCTGCCCTAAGATGAGGGGCTGTGTGGATGCTATATATCACCTGTGTAGAGAAATCAGAATTCATTAGGTCTACAGAACTGTTACCTTGAGGCTGGAGCTATGCAGGCTGGCAAGAAAGTCTCGTTTCTCTGTCAGGATGAGTGAGCTAACTGTTGCTTTTGTCCCATTTCATTCTTACAGGCACAACACAAGTTATTTTTGGTGGAAATCATTTATGTTTAGTAAACTTGAAGCTTTGGTCAGCTGAGACCACAGAGAAGTTGAGGCCGAAGTGGGTGAGGCTAGTATTCTCTGCCCTTACTTTCCTCACCATTTGGCAGATGGAATCTGTTTCCCTGGGAACCTTGTCATTATTACAGTGATATACTGGGATTGAGGAGTTTCTATGAACAGACTATTATCTAAATACGATGGTTCCTTAATTCCTTATTTTAAATTAAATGTTCTGTTTTATTGGGCATTTTTGATGACAGTAGTGGTGGCATTCACAAAATGATTAATAATTTTATAACGCCTCATTGTAGCGATACAAGTAATGCTGAATTATTAGCATTAGTGAGGGAAGAAACGTGTGCTTTCTGAGTTGTTTGTTTAGCAGTGACATATGGTGTAGCATTCCCTTGCATATTTTTGGAGCTGATCTTGCTCACGGCCAATAGCGCTTATTTGTGAAATCTTGATCTTTGATGGCAGGTGGATGTACTGTGTTTTTGCAGAGAAGCTTAGAAGCTTGCTGGCAGAAAATCACACTTTTGACACTTTCTGAGCTGTGTGACTGCAGACAGGAGTCCCGTGTCTCAGTTTATACATCTACAAATTGAGAATAATAGTAAGAGGTAGTAAGAGTATTCGCCCTACAGTATTGATAGGAAGAGCCAACAAATTACTAGCGTTAGAGCACTTAGAAGCATGCTTGCATAGTGTAAGTATAATCATGCATATGTACAGATCATGAAATTAGAAAACACAATGCCAAAACTGTGTCAATCCATGCCACTTGTTGTATCCAAATAGGTTCAGAATTACCAACATTTGCCATTTGATCTATTTTTTAACTTAGGGCACATCTTCATGACCTTTTTAGTTGAGTATATAAGTAAGGCAGAAGTGTTAATGGCTGGTAAGACTCCTTTATATTTACATCCAATTGTAATTTAATGGTATATAACTTTCTCTTATATTTATAACAGAATTATGATGATAAATAGATATATTTATAGGTCCTTGATGAGTGTAGGTATACTTTGAAACTTTCCAGCTTTACTGGTTCATAAGAATAGGTCAGTAGATGAGGATTCGAAATGCAAAGGGAGAGGTAAGATGGAATGGTTGAGAGAGAGCATGCCTGGCTCTCAGACAGCCCCAGATTTGTCTGTCTGTACAAGAAAACAAACCACCAAAGTTAAATAAATGAAGAGAATGTTTATCAACTCTCATGTCCCCTTTGAGCCTCTATTTGAACTTTTCTGAAGCCTATGATAATAAGAAATACCTAGAAAAAAAAACATTGCCTTTGCATGTAGCATTCTTAGAATGGCTGATTTTAATGTTTTGGTTACACAAGTGTATTGAAAGAGAATGAACTAACAAAAGAGAATTCATATTATATATTTTAAAGAAAATATTATACACATATATAAATTCATGTTCAGCTCTTATACAATATTAGAATATAAATATTGATGAAAATACTTCTGACAAACCACTCATCTATTCGTATCTATAACATGATATAAAGGCACGTTTGTGTGTTTGTATCTATAATATGTTTAGTCCATTTTGTGTTGGCTCACTCCCTTAATCTTTGAAGATGGAAGTGATTCCTCAGGTGATCCTGAGCTCACCAGCCATTGAGGCGGGATAATTGAGAGAGACCACTTGAAATCCTTCCGTGCCTCCAAAACCTTAATGAATGTTGGAAGTACTGTGTCAAAATATGGGACCTTGGTATAGAAGTATTTCAGGATGAAAGAAATATAGAGATGCTGCATATGATAGACAGGTCTTTTCATCTTTTTTCTTCTACTTCTCCCCTGAAGTGGGCCATGGAAGTTAGAACACCTTTGTCCTTGGTGATGCAACCCACAAAAGGCAGAATGCTCCTTCCTCTTCACTAATATGGGTGTTGACACTTACAAAGGTCACTCCTCCTCCTTTTTTCCTCCTCCTAAAACAGCCTCAGGTTGACAGGCTACTTTAGTTTACCATTACTGGACTGTACCCTCTTTTGTCTTCCATTTATACTTTTACATGACTGCTCCTAAAAAATATGCACGTTATTCTGGGGTTAGGAGGTCTTCATATCTTACATGCTACATAATATTTTATTAAATACATGTTGATACTTTTCTTTAGTTGATCACCCTTTGTTCCAGGGTGCCAGCCAAGTACTTTGTAATGACTGAAAAATAAGGGTTTTCTTCCTTACAACACAGTGTGGAGTACATAGTAGGAACTTTGTGTTTGTTAATGAAATGCCAATGTAGGATAAGTGAATCTTATGATTTCTAAAAAAAAATCATATTTTACAGTAAGCAAAGCAGCTAGCATTTAATGAAAATTAAATACTAAAGCAAAAGTCTTGACAGTTCACCTCACCACTTTGACCCAGTTTGTTTATTTGCAAGCCAAGGTCAGATCACATCAGCTTTGCAGTCTTAAAAATCCACCAAGGGATTTGTGCTATCAGCCTGTCAATCATTTTTCTCTGGTGCAGAAACACTATTAGTAGTTCCACTAGCCAGGCAGCAGCAACTGCCGAAATATTCACTTCGTGTTAACTTTTGACTTCATAATTAGAAAGTCAGACTTATAAACCCAAAATGTAATACACATATTAAGCTTCACTCCGTTAGACAGTGATCTGGTAACAGTCATGTGAGAACAGAAAGATGACAACTAATACTGAAAACATATGCTTTTAATGGCATGTTCTCCTTTTTAATTACATGCATGATTTTATAAATCTTAGTATGATAGATATTTAAAACCCTATTCTCCTGGAGTCTACATCCATTCACCTCTAAATACTTCAACGTGGGCACATTGTGTAGTTTCTACTGGCCAATGTTCAATCACTTGTCTATTTTTTATTTATTTTTTATTTTCTCGGCAACCAGAGGAGTAAAAGCTAAATTATTTTCCCTCGTGAATTAAAGGCAAAGCCAATGATTGCTGCTTGATTTGGGAACTAACAAAGTGACAGGATTGGATGTTATCTGATATTTATGACAAATGTCTAATTAGAGAACCCGGCAGAATTATTTCACTGACTTTCTATAATGGACCCTTCCTCTTGGAACTCAGAATATAATACACCCATGTCTATGAACACATGAATAGTGCAGAACACACCCAGCTTGGGGAGGAGGCAGAGAGGAAGGACATAACTTCAAATTGAACCCTTTGCATAGCAGTTTCTCTTACTCTTGCCTTTCTATGAATAAAAAACTGAGGGTCTGACCTCCAAGGTAGATGACAGTCTGTCTGTGTGAGCCAAAGTCAGGAGGAAAAGCAGTTTCTGTTTTCTACATCTGCTTTGCGTCTGGCACAGCAGTAGTAAACATCACTTCACCAGCTTAGTAGAAATCTATAACCATGCAAAAGCCAGTTGCATACTACTTCCAACTAAATAGATGCTTCCTGCTCTAAGTGCTCTCATTTCCTCCAATCGCCACACTTCAGACCTACATTTATCCTGCCTGACATCCTACCCTTGTAGGTTACGGGGAAATAGTTTGTCCAAAAAGAGCTACGTTAAATTTCATTTTAGGAGAAATTAAATGGAAGCATGAGCTGCATGTTTTTTTCCAAAGGATTCATTATAAGAAAATTCTTTAACCAAAGATCCCCAAAAACTTAAATTCACCCACCTTGAGAAAGACACTGGATGACCTCAATTCCCATGAAACAGAATGAAATGGATAATCTGGAGAGAACGTGACATTGTATGTCCTCAGAATCTCTCCAGCACTTTCAAATAATTTTAGTCTTGGTGAAGATGTCATTGCCTCAAGCCGAAGGGTGATTCTGTCTCTTTCATCAAAACTAGCATCCACGAGGACTTAAATCACCTCAAAGAGCATCCAGAACCTGTCTGTGGGTATTAAAGGAAAATTTCACCCAAGTGAAACAGGAGGTGGCTTTAATAATGTACCAGTCTCAGTTGCTTGGGAATTTTGTGAGTCATCTGGAATTAATCTGCTTGAGAGCAAAGGCAATAAAATATTGATATGCGTTGTTGTGTAAAGACTGTTGTTTGCAGGATAGAAAACACAAATAATAGCATCTATTGCTTCCTGTTTTCCTTATTGCAAAATTTATCTTTTGTATTGTATTTTTCTTTCTCTCCTCATTAGACATGAAATAACGTCTGTCTGGATGAGTGCGAGATTTACAGTCTCAAGAATTCTTCCTAGGCTTGCTCTTGTTAAATGTCTAAACTGCACAGAGCATGTAAATAAGGTCCAATATAATGACACTGGCTGATGAAGCCTATTGGGCCCAGAGTATGTAGATGAAACCTTCCATTGGCTTCTCTTCCTGCTAACCTCCAAATCCATGTGACAGGAAAACATTGCTATAGAGATTGATGGCTGGGCTCTTTCCTCATGCCCATTACAAAGTAGTTACCTTCCATTCTTGTTAAGTGGGGTTAAAAACACATAACTTGCTTCTGGATCAAGACCTGTGGATTTTCATAGAAGTCTAGATACTAATTGTTTAGATACACGCATGAGAAAGAAGGGGTAACCCAAAGATTCGGTCATTAACTCGAAGACCTGTTAATATATCCAAGCCTGTACCAGGGCTCAATCCATGATCCCCACATCTATTAAAAGATGTCATTGCATTTATTTATCTATTCATGTAGTGAATGTTTGTATGTGTGCATGAGGGGTATGTGTGTGTCTGTGTGCATGTGCCCTGGCACATGTGTGAAGTTCATAGGAAATCTTTTTTTTATGCCAATTTAAGCATTTTATTGGGGAAATTAAAATGATAATAATTTTGAGAGGTTTTGATAAAATATAGTATTCTAATATGTATAAACATTTCCTATGTAGTTTTTTTAACTTTCACAGTTTTTATTTAGTTTCAAATGTATTTTTCATTGTCTTGTTGTTTTCCTTTCTTTCTTTCTTTCTTTCTTTCTTTCTTTCTTTCTTTCTTTCTTTCTTTCTTTCTTTTTTTTGGTTTTTCGAGACAGGGTTTCCCTGTGTAGCCCTGGCTGTCCTGGAACTCACTCTGTAGACCAGGCAGGCCTCGAACTCAGAAATCCCCCTGCCTCTGCCTCCCAAGTGCTGGGATTAAAGGCGTGCGCCACCACCACCCGGCTGTCTTGTTGTTTTTCAATATTTCTATTTTATTTTGTTCATTTATTTCTTTATAGTTAATTATAAGTGCATGTATGTTGCATATAAATGTTGGTGAGACTGTTAACATGTTCATGTGACGGTTGAGACCAGAAGTTTTGGTCAGGTATCCTCCATCATCTCTCATAACCTTAGTATGAAGAAAGTTTGTCTCGCTAAGTCTGAAAATAATTACTTGCATAAGCTGGCCATTTAGAAACCCCCAAGATTCCTTCTGTGTACTCCTACCTACACAGAGACATTAAACTTACATTGCCTTTTCCAGATTTTTTTTTTTCTTCTTCTGGCTGTTTGGTGATTTAAAATCAGGTCCCCTTTCCAGTCCAGTGTAGAAGTTAGGCTTGGTTCTTCCTCCTGGCACCATGATCTGAGAAATAAGACTCAGACTTAAATTATATTTATAAATACCTTGGCCATAGAGCTATGTTCTTCTCTGGCTAGCTCATAACTTAAGTTAACACATTTATTTTAACCTACATTCTATCATGTGGTTAGTTACTTGTGCTAAGGTACCATATATGGATCTCATGTCACACCTTCCTGGGAGAGTCTCCAATGCCTGGCTCTCTCCCAAAATTCTGTCTGCCTTCCAGATGTTCTACCTAATTCCTGCCTAAGTCATAGGCCATCAGATTTTTTTATTGATAAGGAGTCAGTTTGGTCCTTCTATCATGTGGACACCAGGAATAGAACTCAGGCCACTATAGTTGGTGGCAAGCTCCTTTACCAGGTAAGCCAATGAGCCATCTCACAGGCCCTATCCCACATCTGTATGAGCGCTCCATTTCCTATCGATTTTCCTAGGGCTGATCCACATTTCCAGCTTGTTGAAGAAGCTGTTCTTCATATTCTAAGATGGTTTCAGCGTATATGCTTTCAGTAGGGCTCTCTGCTCAATGTGTCCTTCACAGTGACATCTGGATCCATACACTGTAAGGTTTAGAGAATGTTCACTAGTCCCTATAGGGCACAGTTGTATCAGATTGAACTGCACACAGACTAACAGGATTAACCACTTGAGTAACAGAACCAACTTCTCCTCTGACATACTCCCAGCTTTTATATCCATCCCACATAGAATACTGGTCCCAATTTTCCTTGGTATGTAAATCCCTATCTGGCCAAAGAAAGAAAGCAACCTCTCTAGGACAAGATCTGTTTCCTATCACACATGGTTTTGAAAAGAAGTGCTCTTAAAGGTACCTGAAGGAAAATTAAGCTTTTTGGAAGGCCAGAAACAAATGTGGTGATGTATTCTCATCCTACGTGGGGGATTTACACGGATTCAGCTGCTGCAAGGAAGAGGTCAGAGGAGTCACAGATGTACTTCAAGACCCTTAGGGAGTTTTGACAGGCTGCTTTCAGAATCTTTCTCAACAGAAGATATGTTACAGTGTAATTAACATACTCAGTCAGACTTATTTCCCCCTTGGTCTTTGTGGGCTAAGTTACTGGGGATTAAATTGCATATTTTCATTTTAAGCCTATATTTTTATTTAAATGGATGAAAGTTTATAAAGTAAAGTATACATCTTAGTAACAGAGTGTCTTAAATTCCTCAAAGTTACAGGGACATAGGCTGAGAAGATGGGTCAGTGAGCAAGAGTGCTAGATATACAATCGTGAGGACTTGAATTTGCCCCCCCAGAGCCGAAATCAAAATACAGGTGTGGGTAAGGAAGGTATTCTTGTCAGAATGACCTAAGACAGCCTCAGTCTTGTTAACGAAATAAAAAAGGGGGAGATGTGGAGAGCTTTTGCTGCTGCTTGGTGGGAATCTGACATGGGCCAAGGACAAGGAAATGGGCTTCAGGTAGGAATCTGACATTAGGCTAGAACAAAGAAGTAATTTCAGGCAGGAGTTTAAATCTTAGACTAGAACAAGGAAGTAATATCAGGCAGGAATCTAAATATTAGGCTAGAACAAAGAAGCAGTTTCAGACAGGAATCTAAATCTTAGGCTAGAACAAGGAAGTAGGCTTCAGACATGAAAATGACTTTGGGCTAGGACAGGGCAGTTGGCTGAGATAATTTAATCATCCTGATAAGACCTTAGAAACAGTGTTCATGGGAGTGTTCATGGAATTTTGTTTATTGCCCTGCTTGTTCTTTGTCTATTTGTGTTTATTGTCTTGCCTGTTCCTTGACTATTTGCATCTATTGTATTGCTAAACCCTCAACCTAGAACTGACCTTAATACTTGTATGTAATTAAAATGGTATAAGAGCAAAAAGAAGGAGGGAGGATGGGATGGGAGTTTCTAGGGAGGGGAAATGGGGAAAGGGGATGACATCTGAAATGTAAATACATAAAATGTTTAATAAAAATAAATAAAAAAGAAAAAATACAGGTGTGGATGCACACACTTGCATCTCAGCACTGGAGGAGGGCAGAGGTAGGGGGCTGGAAAACGACCCAGCTGTTTTCTTGACCACTAGTGTAACTGAAAACAGTGACTGTCAAGTTCAGTGAGAGATCCTGTTTTATAGAGGAATTTTAATCCAGCATCATGGCTGTTTTGAACTCATCCAAAGCCCTCCTGCTGGAATGCAGACTTGCCCTTAGCACATACTTTTAATCCTTCTGGCTGAAATCCTTTAGTACATACCTTTAATCTCAAACAATGAACCATCCAGTTAGAGTTCAGAAAGAATTAGAAAGGGTGAGATTATTGAGCAGTAAGCCTCTGAGATGACAGTCACATCAGGCCAATAAGTTTCTTTTACACTGCCTCAAGGAAATGATGCAGAGAGTGACAGAGGCAGACACCCAATATCATCTTCTGGCCTCTGTACTTGCACAAATATGTGTACATAAATATGAACCATGTATGACACATGTATACACTACATCACACATACACACACACACACACACACACACACACACACACAAACACACACGCACACATTCATAAACACACACATCCCCAAAGTTAAAAAGTCAAAAGGAGGGAAAAGCCAAACATCAAGATTCTATGAAACATCACCAAAATAACACAGAAAAAGTAATCTTTTATGAGGAAAATGTCAAAATGAACTATAGTTAACTTACATGCAAAGATAAAATATGCCCCCCAAATCTTATTTCCTCAGACTAATTATTTTATTTTATTCAATAGGAAGTTTCTAATTTTGAAGCTGAAATCCCAAAAAGAAAAACGTAAGTCAAATTTACTTGGTAAGCAGTAAATTCTTGTAGCTTCAAATGTAGAATGTTAGTGGACTTACTGAATTATTTCCTTCTCTCATACACATATCTAGGTGTGTGTTACCCACTGCTATTTCTCTGTTTATGCTGATGCACAAGAATTTTGGGTTATGACATTCCTATAGGCCTGGATGTGAAAATTAAATTTTAAGAAGAAATGTGTTTAAACTAGGCTTGGGTTAAAGCAGGAATCTACTCCAAACATGTGTCTATCAGTGACCTATTTAATCTTCTAAGGGATTCTTCTAATCCAAACAGAAATGTGTTTGGAAAGAGGTTTGTTTATTTAGGTCAGGCCTAGCTTTACATTCCGTGGTGCATGCTGCTAAAAGCTGTGATACGAACATGTTGCATAAGGTAATGGGATTTTAGCTAATAAGCAAGAAATGCATGGGCATAGGAAGCTGCTTTATGAGGAAATTTCCAGATGGATTGCTGATGCCATGGGATACAGCTTCCTCTCATCCTGGATTGCTCTGAAGCCAAAGTCTATTTGTGCAAAGTTCTCTCTTTCAAGGCTTGGCCTCTCCTGCTCTACTCACTCTGACTCACATATTTTTTTACTCCACCCCTAAATTTCTTCCAGTTGAGAATATAAATGCTTCCCTAATATATGATTGAGTGACTAACAGTACAGAGCTTCTACCTGGGAGAAGTGACTAAATATCATCCAGTCCCAATTACATAAATCACAACAGATATATTTTAAATAAAGCAGGAGGGCACTGTTTAACCCTCCCTGTACTCCAATCTCCTAACCCATTTCAAACCACCCAGCTGTTCACTCTTTCTTATTTAGATACAACATTAGCACTTCTATGCCAAGTCCTCAAAGGAAGTATAGTTATTGGCCTCTGGTTGGTCCTTTGACAAATTACAGACTCCAAAATGTCCAGTGCTGACCAAATTATGACTTTTTCAATATCAGCTAAATTGTTCAAGATGCCCAGACTCTAACTAAGTAAACAAATATTGAAGACAGTTTTCAGTTCTCTTTCAGTTTCATGTTTTTCACATGCTAGATACCATGACCTGTCCAAAGCATTTTGTATTACATTTTTTAAAATTTATTTTTATTTTATTATCTGGGTCTGGGAGATGTCTTAGTAAACAAAGTGCTTATCCTGTAAACATGGAGACCTGAGGTCACACTCTCAGAACCCATGTAAAGTCCAGTATGAGAGCACTATAGTCTCTGTGCTCCTACGGCGAGATGGGTGGTGAACAAAAGAGAATCCTTTAGGACTTCTGTTCCAGCAATAGAGCTCCATGATCAAAGCAATCTATAGAACGAAGGATTTATTTGGCTTATGACTCCAAAGGGATGAGTCCATCACGATGGGGAAGTATGAACACAAACAACAAGCATATTGGCTGGGCTAGTCCAAACTACCCACATTTTCTATAACAGTGGAGACATCATGGTCAGGTCTATCTCAGTAATACCCGACTCCCTGATTCCAACTTCTGCCACAGGTTTTTATTTTTGTTCATGATCAAGGCAACTTTTAAAAGGAAGAGATTATTTGGCACATGGTTCCAGAGAGATAGGAATTCATTATACATGTGAACCTGCATCAGGTAAGTCTGCTGGAGCAGCAGTTTAGCGCACATGAAAAACCACAATCAGGAAGCAAGGAGAGAAAACATAAGATGACATGAGTCATTTAAAACCACAAAGCCTGTCTTTAGTGACATACTTCCTTCAGCAAATATGCATTTCTGAATCCTTCCCAAATGACCACTGACTGGGGGTCAAGTATCCAAATGGCTAAGAGTTATGGGGTACATCTCATTCAAATAATGGCAGTCACTTAACTTGACATACACATAGGTACATAACAGACATCCTATCCTAAACAAGTTATTAAGTAAGGACCTGAAGTTATCCTCTGGACTCTACACATGCACCTTTTTTCACAAAAAGGCACATACACACACACACACATACACACATATACACAAACAAAGACAAACACACACACATAGACACTCAGACATACACATACACACACAAAGACACAGGCACACACAGAGACACACATACAGACAAGCACAGAAACATATACAGAGAAACACAGACAGACACGTGGTCACAAACACATATACAGATGCATATACACAAACTCATAGACACCCCCCCCCACACAGACACATATTCATTCACACACATGCACACAGACACAGAAGCACACACAGATACACACAGATACATATATATTTAAACATACAAACACACATTCATACACATATATATGCAAAATTTAAAAAGATAAAATAAGTTTGCTGTTGGCCATCTATTGCTGGGATTGTGGCCTACCCTTGAGAATAATTTGTTTCCCCAGCGAAACTCTTTGGAGAAATCTCAATTTTTATTGGCAAGTGGTTATGAATTGGAGATAGCTTTTGTGTTAGGGAAGGCATATGTGTCCACTTCTCCTTTCAGCTGTAGGACCCATCTTGTCCAGACCATGCAGGCCTTATATGTGCTGCATCAGACTGTGAGTTCATATGTGCTGGGATCCCATTGATTCAGAGGGCCTTCTTTCCTCAGTGTCCTCCATCCTGTCTGGCTCTTGCACTCTCTGCTTCCTCTTCCCCAGGATTGGAAGGACAAGATGGGTCCTATAGCCAAAAGGAGAAGTGGACACATAATGCCTTCCCTAACACAAAAGCTATCTCCAATTCATAACCACTTGCCAATAAAAATTGAGATTTCTCCAAAGAGTTTCGCTGGGGAAACAAATTATTCTCAAGGGTAGGCCACAATCCCAGCAGTAGATGGCCAACAGCAAATGAACTCAACTGACCTTTGGGTACAGCAGAATTCATTAGGAACCATCTTATTACCGTGGAACAGTAGTATTTGGTTTTCCTCTAGATAAGTGGCCTATCTACATTCAAGCTCTTTGTCACCTGAGCAGTGTAACATATGGATTCCATATTGTGGAATGGGCTTTAACTCAAGTCAGATATTGGCTGTTTAGTCACGAGCCTTGTGTCACTTGCATTAGCACATTTAAAAGAAATGTTTGTAATTAGTTTTGCTTTAAACATGAGGTTTACAGAAAAGGCTAAACTTGACTTTAAGGACTATCAACAGTGAGAAAAAGCTGCAAGTTGGTTATGTGCACAGGCTGTGTGGATTTATCCCCACAGACAATCGAACTACTACTTGCTTCAATCATCATACTGCTATCCATTGTCAGGGAAGCAATAGTAAAGATGAGTTCACATTTTCAAGCCTGAACAAGCATCAATATTGTTTTATCTTTACTCATTTTAATCTCTGATTTCTATCCTTACTGGGTATTTTTATAAAGCAGAACTCATACATATGATTTCATGCTTCAATATGTAGTTATAAAATAAGAACTATTATTTAAATATGTAATCACAATACCTCTACTTCACTAAACACAAACAAGAAAAATCACATAATATCCACACATCTTGAGTAAATGTTAAAATGTCAAGTTCCTTTGTCGAAGTGGCTTATGTCAGGGTCCAAAAAAGTACAATGCTTAGATTCATGCCTTTTTATATACTTACCTCCACTTCTTTGTTGTAGGTCCTCCTTTACACAGGCCACGTCATTGAACTTTGATGCTTCAGTCCTTGTAATATTTTTTAATACATGCTCTTTCTGTATATCTTTTTCAAGAAATGTTGTTAGGTTTCAAGATACAGTAGATTCAACTTACATACACACACACACACACACACACACACACACACACCTCTGTATGTGTCTTTGTAGGTTTTCAGGATCTGGGTTCTTTCTATCATATTACACTACAACTCTGATCTGTTCACCTCTATTTTTTTGCCATGACAGGATTGCTCAGGGAGATCTGATGGTGCTACAGAGCACACACTTACCCATCAACTTTCTTACTAAACCTCAGCACCAACCACTAGTTATTTTCCATATATTTTTTTCTTTCCTACAGAGTATAATGGCTATGTATACACATATATATTATATAATATGTATGTATGCTATCATTTAGTATTATATGATCTAATGTAATTTGTATCAATTTTGCAATACTTAGAATTATAGACATCACTTTATATAGATTCTTTGATATGTAGACATATAATTAACATGCATTTTTTTGAATTTGTACTGAACAAACACTAGCATCGTTCCTGTCATAATTCTCTAAACAAAACACTGAAACAATTAATATCATATTATTTATAATGTAAATGCAATAGAAAGTCTAGAAATTCTTTAAAATAGGCGAGCACATGTATAGATTATATGCAAATATGATCTGGGTGGATCTGGGTCTCTATCAGTCTGGCTTTCTTGGTCTCTGACTCTGTCTGACTCTGTTTCTCTCTGTTTCTGTCTTTCCCCTTGTTTCTCTCTCTGCTTCTCTCTCTCTCTCTCTCTCTCTCTCTCTCTCTCTCTCTCTCTCTCTGTATGCTTGTGCACACATGCATGCACATGCATGCATACAATGGATGAAGAAGCATCAGAAGAAATGTCTGAAACTAAGTTTCTACTGATGTCTGGTGATGAACGCCTGGGAAATTGATTTCCTTCTATTTATTCTTTATGTAGAAATAGTTCAACTCTTTCCATTTTCAGGTTTCATGGATATTAGTTCATCCATATTCATTTAAATTTTCAGATCAAGATTGTATTTGCATTAGCTATGACTTGTCATCTAAGTCAGGAGAGTTCAAGACTATAGTTGACCTCAAAGAGAAGTAAAATTTATTTCAGCTCTCAAAGGCACAGTATATGTTATAGTTTCTGTTTAATTAATATCCTACTTATTAAATCTAGACCTAAGTTTCTGCTTCTTTTGTTCTAGGTCATTCCAGAAACTTCCACCTGAAGATAAAATATTTGGTTAGTGATTCTTAAAATGATTTGTGTAAATGATGTGCTCAGTTTCCCCAAAGTTGTTCTCATCTGCTCCCATGTCCACAAAGCAATAAATGATCATTTAAAGTCAATTCAGGTTATCTTTGAAGTGTGTAGAAAAATATTATAAAGAAATATGATTCTACTTATTATAAAACAAGTAAAATAAATAAATCATTGATTTATTTTGTATAATTCTTTTATATTTAAAAAGAATATGTTTGTTGGCAGTTTGTTGGCTAATTGTCTACTAGCTCTCCACACTTAGCTTTGCTGATCTGTGGTCAAGGTGACCTCTTAGAGAGATTTTCAGATCTCTTAAGGTACAAGCAAATGAAAAAGAATCAGGATAGTTTTACATGAAAAAATGCTTACTCCATGGTTTTTTTTTACGAAGCAAATCTGCTCAGTTTCCACCACAGTAGCATCCTTCGTGAAAACAATGGGTAATTGGTTTGATTTGTCTTTTCATTCTTAAGTAAAAGTTAAATTCTAGTAATATCATTTAGAAAGGCCATGCACTCTCCCTTCCCTTTCCCTCCCATCCTTTCTGCTCTACTCTTCTTCTCTCTGTTCCTCTCAATTTTTCTCCCCTCCTTTCATGTCTCACTGTTTCTTTCTCTTCTCTCCTCTCTCCTGTCTCCTGTCTCCTTTTCCTTCTCTCCTCTCCGCTTACAGCAGAATACTGGGAGTGGTAATTTTACTATATTCTCAGTACCAAACCATCTGCACTACGCAGTCAGGAGGTCATTTTGTATGGAAGAGGATTTCTCAGTGTGTAAGAGCCTCAGCTAGGCAAGCATGAGGACCTGACTTCAAGTCTCCAGAATCCCTATTAAATCTGGGCATGACCACACTGCCTATAACCCAAAAATTGTAGGATACAGAGATCAAAGGATCACTGGGGCTTGTTGAGTGCCAGCCTAACTCTTGGTTTAGTGAGAGACCCTGTCTCAAGGAAACGTGATGGAGCATGACAGATATTTTCCTCTGGCTCAAAATGTGTGTCTAAACGTATGATCTACAAATAGACACATGTGTAATACACACACACACACAAATACACACACACACACACACACACACATACTTTTTCCACCTCCACCCCAGCAACAACAATAGCCAAGAAGAAAAAAGATTTCTTTTTTTACTCCAGTGGGTAAACTTGTGGATATTCTTTCTTTCATCTTCCCTCCCTGCAGAACATAGGAATCTGGAGTCCACTCTCCTTTTCCTCTGTTTTCAAAACTGTTTTCTGGCCACTATCTAGAAGGTTCTACTGACTTAGGTGATGATCCTAATCTACCTAGGACATCTGCACTTTTCCTGCCCTTTGGTCAATACAGACTATGTCCTGTCTTATTTGTCAGTGTCCACAGAGTCCTAGTGACTTTAGACTGAACCCAGAACGTTGAGTTGTGTCTGTGCTCCATTTTAGTTGCACGATTTACAATTTGATTATGTCAGCCTATGACAGAGACTGTAGAATGGGTAGTCTTTGCTAAGTGGCATGGAGGGGATGCTGTCCCATCATTGGGAACCATTTCTCATCAGTCAAGGTTTGCTCCTTTGTGTAGAGGACATGAAGTGAGTCTTTCTAGCCATGAATTTGATGGCACTTGAAACTTCATGACTCCTTACTCTGTCTTCCTACTTAGTCACTTGGTTAAATTGCTGGTGCACATTGAAGGTAGGGTCAATGTCACTTATGCACGACCATGATAGCAAATTCAAGAAAGCCCTAAAGGAACAATAGAATCAGAGGCTCCTAGGAAGCACCTGAGGACCACTGTTCTACAACATCTGTGTGAATACTTAGGAGTTTTTGTTCATAAATGAGGAGCCTGTGACAACTGCTCAGTGACTAGAGTTTCGTACAAGGGACTGATGACTACCAGGTTCTGACTGTGTGCTCAGACTGCTTGGTTTTAAAATCCTCCCATACTTGACAGTTACTACTGTGAAATGCAGCTAACTAGTCTTCCATTTACTTCAGAAGGAACAACTGTGTATGACACAACCTGGCAGGAACCCAGCAAGGCTATGCATGATTGCCACCTCAGGAGACCCTGGCAACTGACAGGTAATTGCTAACTTCAGCTCAGTTGACTTTGTCTTTTCTCAAAGTAATTTAAAGGGCAGTTAGGAAGATTTATGTTTCTCTATTGAAATTAGTAGGGTGTTGGGGTCTAGTTAAAAAGAAAAAGAAATGTGGTAAGATAGAGTAAATATTAATGAATTATTGACATATATGCATATCTATACATGTACATACACATGTACATATATATTCATATACACATATGTATATGTACATGTACATCAAAATACACAGCTACACATATAGAAAGGAAGTAAAACCCAACTAAGTTACCAGGTGAGGGAAAAGACAAAGATTCAATTTTAAATGATATATAAAAATCTTTAATATGTTAATAATTTTAAAATATTTTAAGTATCAGGATATAGGGACAAATCTAGAATTACAACAATATTTTTATTTTATCGTGTTTAGGCTTTCTATAGTACTTCAGGAGAAATAGCTAAATACCAATAAAAATTACCTTATTTTTTTTTAAGTTTAAGTTTCTCAGTAACAGTGAATTAGCACTCAGATATAGATGAATTTATTAGTAACAACTGAGCTCACAATTATAATGGCTTAATTTGGAAAGACTATGACTGAAAGGAGAAAGCTTTAATATTTTCCAAATATAAACATTGGTGTATGTGAAATTTGCTTTGCTTTGTACCCTGCCTCACAAGCTATTGACTCGGGAAGTAAACAGTGATTTGCTATAGATGAGTCAGCATTTTTGCTGATGGTTGACTAAAACATTTTAATATTTTAGGACAAAGAGAACTTAATATATTTTCCCAATAATTGCTTAGTAATTTGATTAAATATTGTGGTAGATTTAAAAAAATTATAATGCCATTGTTTACAAAATAATAATTGTTTTAAATTGCACAATTTTATTCAAGATTGGGTAACATTTTAGTGGATAATTTTAGTCAATTTTTAATATTTAAAATTTTTCTGCAAAAAACCCAAATGAAATAATTCTGGATTACCTGAAATATTTTCCTTTAATCATCATGAAAGACTATGTTAATATTATTACCTTAGGTTGGACTTTATCTAACAACATAGACACTAATGATAGCAATCTGTGACAGAGGAAATGATCTCTCCCCATCCCCTGACGTTTTGCTTGTGTCCACCCATCATGTCTGTCAGTAAGCAGGATATAGTTCAGATCACTTTAGACTGATCTGTGGAAAAGGAAGCCAGAAGAAATATCGCCACAAATACAACTTCATGATGAAGCATTCTAATTCCTACACTACTTGCCTTTGAAATGTGCTTTGTTTGAATTATATTTTGTAATTTAATGCCAAAAAGCATTAAGTTAAAAGCATTAAGCAAAAGTTATAGGTACAGTGATGAAACAGAAGAGGTTCCTGGCCATAGGTATCATAGGTGCCATAGGTGAGGTGCTTCTGTTTCAAAGTTTTCACCTTTTTTTTTTTTTTTTAAAGAAATTTGTACATAATCTTGCCCAGGTTGATATGACCCAGGTTTTTGAGTCACTCTCGTCTCTCTCATTTTCTCTGTCTCTTTCCTTTCTGTCTCTCTCTGTCTCTTTCTCTCTGTGTCTCTCTCACATGGTGTGTGTGGTGTGTTGTCTAAGAAGTTCTGCAGACATTTCTAGGCAGAAGCAGCTGAGTCACAGGACATTACCTAGGGATTAATGCTCAGAGGAGTTGATGGCCTGAAACCACGGCTGTCGGAGCCGTTATAAATTGAAGGCAGAGACGGAGTGAGGGAGGAGGCCACAAGCTGCAGGCTCAAATTTTATGGGTGTACTAACTTCATTTGCAAGACTCAGAGTATTTCTAAGCAATTAGTGCCCTCCATATCAACCCATAATATTTCTTTCTCATTTTAAACACTACTTTTAAGTTGTTAATTGCATAATTACTTAAGAGCGGTTTACTGTGCCTGAGGATAGGCAGGCTGTGCTAGTGGTGTGAGGTACAGATGGGATCATGCTTGGTGGCTGTCATCAACAGTGTCTGACTTTATAGTACACTAAGAAGGAATTGTAAAGACAGCTACCGCAACGCAGGAGGAAATCTATAAAGACAATGCTTACGGAGTGATGTTAACTCTTCCAGAATCGGTTATAAGCGCTAAGATCAAAACAAAACCAACACCAACAACAACACCAAGAACAACGACAACAAAAGTCATTTCTTCCTATTTTAATTCCAAAGTAGTATTTCTATGTGATACATATATAATATTAGCAGGACATTAGTCCTAGAGGTTACCATTAACATTTTAAATTTAATTTTAGTTTACGTGTATGGGTGTTTGGCTTGTATGTGCAGCTACATAACATGTGCACATGTGGTATTTGTGGAGGCAAAAAGAGGGCATCAGATCCCCTGAATTGGACTTAGAGATGGCCTAGGGCCACCATGTTTGGGCTGAGAATCAAATCCTAGTCAAGAAAAGAAACCAGTGCCGTTACCTGTGTGTGGTGCCATCTCTGCAGACGTAATGTTAAATTTTTATAAACTGTGCTTAGCTGAGGATTTGTGTCTAATATTTTAGTTGTTGATGATATGAATGTAGTGGAATGTCAATACACTTTATTTTTGAAGATGAAATCATGAAAATAAGTTCAGTGCTAGAAGCAAAGGTCTGTAGTGTATTTAGTTCATTTCCTTTCTTTCTAAGAAATGTTTGATCAAAACCTGTGTTTGTGCTAAGAAAGACAACATCTGCAAAGTAAACACAAGGAAATTCATTGCTTAGTGCTTCCAACTGAAAAAAGTATGACGTGTTAGATGTCTATCTAAGTTAACCAATAATTTAGTTTAATTGCATTTTTAGCTTCACAAACAGGGAAGTTATTCTTAGTGTTCATTTTTAAATCAATGTCAACTTAAAAATCTTTACATTTATTGTGACTTTTGTTTTTTGGATAAAATCCTGAGAACAAACTTTGAAATCTAGGAATTGGAGTTTACCTAAAATCAAATTATGCAGTGAGTAAAATAACTTCAGGAACCATTTCTCATTTTATAGTACAAAGAGTGAATACTGGCCAATACTTACCAAATAATCAAAATACAATAAAAGAGCTTTGGAGATTTAGAGGTTTTATATCGGTCAATCAATATGATGGTAATAGTCTATTTCATAAGTTATAGTTAAAAAGAATTGACATGTTAGTAAAAGTAGTAAGTTAATAAGAAATAAAGTCCAGAAGTCTGACTATCAGTACAAGGAATTTTAAATCCACTTACATCACTATTGAATTAATTTAGAAATAAATCTTATCTGCATATGGTTTTGTAATATTTATTGTCAAAGAAAACTAGTGGAGAGGAAGCTCAAATTCTTAGTGTCTTCTAAAGTCTGTGTATTAGTCAGGGTTCTCTAAAGTTACAGAAGGTATGGAATGTCTTTCTATATTAAGGGAATTTATTATGATGACTTTCAGTCTGTAGTCCAACTCCCCAGCAATGGTCAGCTGTGAATTGGAAGTCCAAGAATCTAGTAGTTGCTCAGTCCCATGAGGCTAGTTGTTTCAGCTGACCTTCTACAGAAGTAGATTCCAACAGATGTGCTGGCAAAGTAAATGCAAGTGGTGAAGAAGAGAGAATCTTCCTTCTTCCAATGTCCTTATGTAGTTCTCCAGCAGAAAGTGTGGCCTACATTAAAGGTGTGTAGAAGCATGCCTGGATCTAAGACTTGTTTTGTCCCAGATTGACCTTGAACTCAGAGATCTCCTTGCTGTAGTCTCCTGGGATTAAAGGTGTGTACTACCTTACCTGAGCCTAAAATTTTCATAGCCACTATACCTCAAGATCTTCATGTCAAGATCCAGGTCAGAAACTTGTGTCTTCAGTCCTCACGATCACAGGTGAGCCCTCCAATTCTGGATTGTAGTTCTTTCCAGATATAGTCAAGTTGATAACCAGGAATAGCCATTGCAGTCTGTTTTAGCACTTGATTTCTATCAGTTTGAAACCTTTGTCTATCCCAACGTTTAGTTATGATGATCATTCAACCTTTTAATCAGTTTTATTCATCATCTTCTTTTGAATTTTTAAGACTATAATACAATCAGATTTATCCCTACTTTTTCTCCCTCCAAACCATTCAATATGACCGTTCCCCACTATCTTTTAAAATTAGGGCATTTTTTTCACTAATTCTTATTGCATGGATATATACTTATGTAGACACATATTCTTAAGTATAAGCTGTTCACTCTATTACTTGTACATATACATTCAGGCCTGACCTTTTGGCATAGGACAACCAATTGGTGTGCTCTTCCTCAGAGGGGATGACTTCTCTCAGCTTTCCTTATAGGAAAAATCTCAATTTTCATGCAGAATGGTACATTCTTAAACACACAGATATTTGCACATGATATATGCATGTCCTCATAATCTAGTGTTCTGAACCTATGACCTTGGTATTGACATAGAACAATGATTTACTAAGCTCATAAAATTCAGTCAGTGTCAAGAATTAGGTCACAAAATTCTTCATGTCTGACATCTGAAGCTTTATTTGGTGGATATTGGTGCTTGGAAAGGACTTAAAAAGTCTGCTGGCTAGAACCTTCTAGAAGCTTTTTCATTTCTATGTTTGGCTCATTGACCAGGATAGACCAGCCTCTTACTGTACTTTACAGTGAAATGCATGCGTGTACCATTGCCTATTAGCAACATCTTTTGCTAATGGTTGGTTTTCAAGTGTGGGCAGCACACAGCCATCACGTGAGAACATGACTTGGTCTCTAGAGATGCTCACTACTTCTATTCCTGGCATCAACTCCATGCCACTTTGCTGTGATGAGTCACTGGGCTTCATCTAGATTCTCTATTTGTTGAATTGCACTCCATTTCATGGTGAAGGAGAGACAACTTTGTGCTTTTGAAGAAAATATATTATGGGAAGGAATGTTGTTGTCATCTTTGGGGATTTTCCTCTGCATGATCACCTGTTTCCTTTTGTGCTACTTACTACTGTCTTTATGATTGTTTTGTTGGCAAAGTATCATTTATGTCACAAGTGAAATATATATATATATATATATATATATATATACATATACATATATATGTATATATATTACATGTGTGTACATATATATGTGCATATATGTATGCATATATAGGATACATCTCATACAATAAACATTATGTATATATATACATATGTGTATATTACATATATGTATATATATAATAGACATACAAAACGATTAATTTTTTAATAAAAGCAATTATCCTAATGTTCCATCCTTACTCCTGAAAACTTAATCTGAAGAAAATCTTGTTTGAGACTTCATAATGTTTTTAAAGTAAAATAAAAATATATTAAAACCCATACTTTCTCTTGGAAAAAACAAGGAGAACAATCCTGAACTCAGGTGTCAGATTTCGGATGGGTGAACTGAGGTTCATGGCTTCCCTCTGGTTGATGAGCTGGCCAATTGGCTCATTATAGAATTTCACTGTCTCTTTGATTGAGTTAATTTACTAAAATATGTGTGATTGGAGACTTGCAGACATTTACATTTGCAGCACTGATCTAGTATGTCATGTTCAAATTCTTGCACTGGATTCTCAAGGCTCAGTAATAGTTGGCCACAGTTACTCATCAGCCCTAATTCCTCTTACAGTATATTGGCATAGTTCTCAGGGACAACCAATCTTAGTCTCAAACGTGGTCTTCTTTCATTCATTCTGCATTACAACTCCCTGTCCACACCATTGTGTTTTTGCTGTATGTAATCTCTTTCATCCTTTATCTTGAAGAACATCCATTTTTCAAGCCCTTATGACCCTATGTTTACAACAAGAACCATGAATCTTAATACATCTTAATAAATAGTCTCTGTTCATAATATCAATCCTAATTTATTCATTGAAAACCTTGTGTTCATATGCAATCATATTGTAGTCATAACTTACTTTTCTAGCTAGATTCCAGATCTGAGAGAGGCTACCCCACTGTTTTCCACAATCAATAAAATGTCCCTAAAAGGATCTATTCAAAATTTATATTAAAAATATGAAAATACAGAAGACCAACAAAAGATTAACTGAAAAAAGTAAATTTTTCTAGGAATTGAAAAAAATATTAATTATAAAACTTTAACATGTAGTATCCTGAACATGTAGAATCCTAGAAGATTCTGCTTCAATATCATGATCCCAAAATTAGATCCTTATAAAGTTCAGATTCTTGTTAGAATTCTGTATTGTGGTTGCTTTCATTTAAATCCTGCTGTTGGTACAAATAAGCCTGGTACTTGGCTGTAAGTTTTCTGCATCTTTTTGACCATAGCTAAGAAGGAGAGCTAGAGACAATCTGTGCTTCCTACCATGTGCCAGGATGATGGGCCTTGAATGTGAGAAAGAAGAATGCAAAATGTAAAAAGTCACTAGTCTGGTGGCTGGTTTCAGTACTCTCACTCATAAAATAAAAGGCTAAGATCAAGTGATCCATGAAGTCTTTTCCTCTTTTAACACATGGTGTGTTTCAGACTTAAATAAATGAAGCCTCTTTTCAGAGTTGCTGAAAGGGAGTTTCCCTTACTTTTGAAAAGGTTTCATTTAGCTGCAAGCAAATGGGTGCCAAAAGCCAGAGCTAACTAAAGCTTGTACAGAAGAATTTTGACATAAATAATTCATGTTGAGAAGACCTGAGCTAATGAAGCTCAAATTGTCAATGGTAGAAAACTCAGCTTACCAGAAACAGACGAAGTGGCTACTGCCTGGATTACTGTGTCTTGGAGCTAGAAGCAGCTTTTGGTGAAAAAGAGGAGTTGAGTCCCAGGGAAGTTCCACAGCTGACCTAAGGACCTAGTTGACCAGTGACAAACAATTTTGAGGTTTGATTTGTTAAACTGATATTATTTTGATCTGTTTCTTATAAAAGCACGTCAGGTTTATTTAACAACAACAAAAAGAAGAACATGACCAAGCCAATATAATGCTTCAATTGATTAAAGTAAAACTGCATTATTAAATTACACTTAAGCTTCCTCAATCTGATTTCTTTTTCTTTTTGCTCTTGATTGTGCTGGGTTAGAGTCCAGAGCCTCCCACATGCTAAACCAGTGTTCTCTCACTGAACTACAGTCACTCCCAAACTGTGTTTTTTGAAACTTGTTATGTAACCTTTATCTCTTTTCATAGCTCTAATAAATGAAGATGCTTTGCTTTTGAGGAGAAACAAATATATTGTTAAAGAAAAAGAATCACAAGGGACTCCATATCAGGTGAGCAACGTGAAGAGTTGGCATTTACATGATGTTGTGCAAACTGTTCTATTATTGAGCTTGCTCCATGATACAACCAGTACAGTGTCTAGTTCTTAGATAGCCAGGGAGCTGTTTTGTATTTTGATGTTTCCTGTTTGTTTGTTTATTTATTTATTCATTTATTTATAATTGCTGAGCTCATGTTCTTGAGAATTGGGATACAAATGAAAAAGAAAAATCAAATGTTGCCTTGAGATAATAAACCATTATGATTATGCAAAGCACCATGCCCAGCAACCTTTTGCCAAGTAACTCCGGGACTGTTAAATTACTACTTGGGGAGTATTTCTGATGAGACCTGTGTTAACCACTTCAAGATCTTTGGCATCCTTCCGTGTGGAATACATGCCTCCTTTTGTTCACATCTGATATAAACACGTCTGCTGTGACTCCTGATTTAGCCCTTTGAAAATGGATTTGATTAACACAAGAAGTCAAGCAATTAAGACTGTCTGAATGTTGAGTCTCCCTAGTAATAGTCAGTACTAGTTCATAGCCAAGCAGTTGCTACTCATCCTATAATAAGAAAAAGTATACAAGCCTGTGAGTCAGCGGTACCACCTCAGGCATCAGGCTGGATTTTTTTTTTCACATTTCAGATAGCCTTGGGCTCTTCTTAATTGTTGTGATCATTTTATTAAAAAACTTAGAACTGGCCTTCATTGTGCACTTAGTGACCAATACACAGCGGCCATTCAGAACATGAGTTGTGAAGGGGCTGATTTGGTGAGGAAAGAAAGCTCACTCATCGAAAGCCAATCTTATTTTCTAGGCAATGTGAAGTCCTCCAATGAACTAGACAGTGCATCACAGCTTTCAGTCAGCTATAGCTTTAGACGGTTGTTCTGATGCTCCTGGTGTGTGTGTGTGTGTGGAGGGGGCAAGGGGCTGAGTAGACTATACTCTGAGCCTTGCCAACATATCCCTGGAGCACCCATCTTCTGGTGAGTTCTCCTTGGAGTGCCTTGCTGAGAGTACTAAGATCTTAGTTTGGCTCTTAAACCCTAGTATGGCATCGGACAATTTATGGATGCTTTCTGCCTTGGTTTTCATCACTGTAAAATGGTCCATAAAGGTCCCTACATCCCATGGCTGTCACAAAGATGAAGTGAAAGACTCCACTCAGAGAGTACTTAGCTTCATGGCCGGCATTTCATTGATGCTTGAAAAAATATAGTTGTCATTTCTTCTCTTTTTTCTCCTCTCTGCTGCTCCCGTCTTTTTTCTGTTTGTGCTCCACAATGGTACTTTCAGAGGCACAGCTGGTAGATAGGCAGCCCTATCTTCCTAATTTCAGATAAGACTCAGGTTTAGTATTTAGTGAAATGTCGTCCAGCAGTGAGGAAGAAATAATGCTTGCTGTACAGGATGTGCTCCCCATCCTTACAGGATGTGCTCCCTCCCAGAGATATGCTGTGTGCCAAGAGAAATCTTTCTTTTGGATTTCAGCATCAACATCACTTAGTATCTAACCATCTGTGAGAAAGAACAAACTAATAAAGTTTTAGAAGAACCGCTGAGATATAAAGCTTTATTTTTTTTTACCAGTGATTCCAAGGCCTTAATTAGCTAAGATGAGGAACTTCTAGAATGGTGACCTTCCAATTGTGCCATGTAGTTTATTGCTAAAGGTTACTTGAAGGATTCACATCCAGTAACGGAAACACAGGCTCCGTCTCATTCTGAAACCCTCACTTGGAAATTTATCTATCTTTAATAATTCTGTTCTTATTTATGATAAGCATTCAGTTGACCTTAAGTATGAAATATTTATCTGTGTGATAGAATGCTTGGGCTTAATGAAGAATGTTATACAAACTATTGATTTATTAGCTCCTTGTGACTGAATACAAAGATCGGGGAGGAGGATCTATTTTCAGGGGTAAGCAAATATGGTGTGAATGAGGATACTCCTGTCCCTGGGGAAAGGTGGGAACTGGTACTGACTGTGGGTTCCATTACTGTTCTGCGTATGGAGACTGGCCAGACCCTTCTATGCCAGGCGCCCATGGAGACATTGTAAAGACAACAGAACATTAAGACAAACTCTGGATAGTTCCATTGTTATGACCTCAGTCTAGGAAAGGAGTTCTATGTGAAGTTCATGTTAAGTTGATTAACACCTTAAACCATGAAACTCATCAGGATCGGGACAGTTGGTGGCACTTGTCCATAGACATGGTGCCCTTATGTTTTCATTAATCAAATCTGAACTTGGCTCAGGTCTGATCTTAGAAGATGAGAGTCTCCTGGAAAAAGTGAAGTTGATTATTTACATCATCATGGAAATTATATACATCTAGCCCTTGAGAGATAGAGGCAGGAGAGTCTGGAATTCAAAGAGTTATCCCATATACATGGGATCTAGTATAAAAATAAAAGAAAATCAGGAAGGAAGGAAGGAAGGAAGGAAGGAAGGAAGGAAGGAAGGAAGGAAGGAAAAAATCCTCACAAGCTTCCTAAAAGCAGATTAACATATTAGCAGTGCATATATATTCATCTGAAAATTTTATTAGTAGCACCATGAAGCGTAGTTAAAATTTCAGTAGTTATATGACCATACCTACAAAAAGACAGATTGCAGACAGCAGACACAGACACAGACACAGACACAGACACAGACACACACACACACACACACACACACACACAGAGAGAGAGAGAGAGAGAGAGAGAGAGAGAGAGAGAGAGAGAGAGAGAGATATTCAGACAGGATCTTAATACATAGCCCTGGCTAATCTGGAAGTTTCTATGTAGCCCAGGATGGTCTTACAGGCAATGGAATCATCCTGTCACAGCTTCTGGAATGCTAAGATTACAGGTATGGTTCACCATAAGACATTTCAACATAAACCAATTTCTCAGACAGAGAATTCTCAAGATATTTACTTCATGTTCCCTAAATGAAAGGAAGGTTTCAGGACAGATGAAGTTAAGAAGGACTGGGTAGCAAGCACAGAAGATGCTCTGGAATGCTTTTCCAGAGCCAACTGCCCAATGAGGATGTGTTCATTCTTGGGTTGGGCTATGTCTGCTGGAGAGCCAGATCTGCAGAAGTGCTGCTGCTGGGGAGAGTTTGAACCAAAGGAGTTGCTCAGCTCTGTAGTCATTACACTGACCGTAAAGAATGTGTTGGAGGGACTTGGCTTTCAACATTTATTTTGTATCTCAGCTCTTGTTTGTTCTCTGGCAGCAGTCAGTTGATGGCTCAAATCTTTTGTAGCATATTGAAAAGGGCATAAAATATGCAGTAATACAGACTTTGGGCTAATATATTTTCAAAAATGTTGCATGCCTCATTTCTCACGTAAATTTTTAGGTTACATTCAGCCTTCAGAGCGTCATTCATATTCATGATAGAAAAGAGGGATACCATTTAGTCCCTTCATTGCTGGTGATATAAAACACTGTCAGGCACCCCCTACTCAGGCTGCACCAAATATTTTTCCCCTGAGCTTCTTTGCAGGGATAAAACTATCTCTACATTAATCAGTTAATTACAAGTACATGCGTATACATGTGTAAGGATACATGCATGTACACATTCTAGTGTATTGTAACTACCGAAATATTAATGATTATAATGTGTGTTTGCTCAAACATGAAGTCTCAGTACTCTCAAAATTATGAGGTGCACAAATTCCACAAATCCAAAGACAGCATGTACTACATGGTGAAATAAATGTCTCAAAAATATGAAGGATTAGATCATATCATAAACATATTGAGCTATTTTCCTTGAAGATAGAGACTGAAGATGCAGGTTAAATAATTTGAATTGTTAACCTCTTCTGTAGGACCATGAAAGGCAGCCTGGTTTCTGGTCGAGCACAGGCTAGAAACCATCAGAGACCCCAGGTGATCCTGAGGGGCCCCAGGTGGGACCAGGTGATCCTAAGGGACGGCATGCATTTGGTCATGTCCCCAGACTCTAGGCTCCTGAAAGAGGCTGCAGCCCTCCATAGATTTGTGTCCTTTAGTCACTTAGGAGAATGCCTCCTAACCCCTCCACAGGTTGAGGGCATTACTACAGGTCATGTAGCCTCAAGACAGATCTCCATATTTATGAGGTACCTAAAGGCCAGAGGGATGTAGCCAATTAAACATTCCTTCCCAGAACCTCCTCCCTGCAAAAGGTATTTAACCTCAGGTCCATCCTGAGATACTGGGGTATAGTTTCTGATCTACTTTCCGCCATGACAATACACATCTTAAAACCATGGAATGTTTCTTTTCATCTGGATCTGCCATGAGGAACAATGGAGCAGGCCTTCACCTACAGAGTTGCCATCTAATCTCCTGCAGAAGACTTCTCTGCGTTCCCAGCCACAGTGACCACCAACCCAAGCAAGGGAAGCCAGCTGTGACCAAGCCAAGAATTCTCATTCCCATGGGACCCAGACTGAGTGAAGCGTCCTCTCTCTCTCCACTCGGCTCGTTTGCAGCTCCCAGCAGCACCTGGAGGCCCAAGAGCCTGAGAACCAGCCAGTCCCCAGCCACCTTTTAGCCCGGGGACCCCCAAGCCAATCCTGAAAGTCTCCGGGGACCTCAGATTGCACTCCTTATCCCCCGAAGCAGGTTCCTGCAGCTTCTCATAGCCTGATACCCGCCTAGCACCACCCTAGGGAGAGTGCAGTCAAACTTCCTGCCCTACTGCCTTCCAGAGAGGTCCTAGCCCTGTGGAGGGGCAGACAGACACGAGACACACTCAATAACCCAACACTCTTCTATGATTAGAGGTGACCATGGGCACTAGTTCTAACCAATTGCATTCACACAAATTTCTTGGGAGGTCTTTCAAGGGGGTAAAATAACTAAAATCTCTTTAGGGTTAAACTTCTTTGTCCCTTTCCTGTCTGGAGTTTGACATGATATCTGTTGAACAAGCAGCCACCTTCGAATTTTGAGGCTAATATTGCAGGAGAGGCATGGTGGGAATAGGCAAGACTGAGCTTGGT